CCCATAGGCTTCGGTCATGCCATCAGATTGGAACATTGGAAATTCCTTTCAATGAGATATTTTATGATTTTGTAGGTCAAGAAAATTTAAAATTTAATTCCTATATTATAATTCATATAAATTTATTTTTTTGTAGTATTTTGATTTAATAATCTTAGTTTAATTATTAATTTTATTAATTTTTTATCATTAAAAATATTGATACAATCAGTTAATTTACTAATGTGACGTTGATTTATGAATAAAATCAGTTATATAGCTAAAATTTAAAAGAACGTAATTATTTAAATTTTAAGAAATTATTTAATATATTGATAGTAAAATTTTTTAAATTAATTTTTTTTAAATATATATTAAAAAATATATATTATCATTATAATCATGTTTGTGAAATTAAAAAAAAAAATTACTATCATTATATTTAATAATTTCTCTTAAATTTTTGTTGCACTTTTCACATTTAACATCAGTACAACATATATACCAAATGATTAGTGCATGATCCTTTTACTCATAGTTGAAAATCATTTTTGCCATTTTTTTATTGCAAACATCAAAACATGGCCCCTAGATCGTAGCCGTGATGTTAGGCAATTAATAATTAATTAGTTATTAATTAATTAAGCCCACGTGGAGACAGCAGGGTCCAAATTTTCTCCAGTTAGCGAACCCAATTTTATTGTATTAAAAAAAAGGATAAAAGTTAATCCCATTGGGAAAAGAGCTGCTTTTCTATTCTCATCTCTTCTAATTAATAATAAATTCTAACTTCAATTATGCAGTGTAGGTTTGTACTTTGTTATTTTCTATGCTTTGGATAGATTAGGTGATAAAATTAGAAAAAAATACATGTACAAAAGCAATAAAGAATTCAATAATAAGTTATAAAACTTGCTAACAACGGAGTACTGCCAAAGTACCAATTTTTCATCCAAAACTCAATTTATATTCTATTTACGCTTAAATATTAGTTTAATGGGTAAAGGATAAGTAGAGATGTCTTGGCTAGAGTGGGTAACGATAGAGTATTTTTTTTTTTTTTTTTAAAATTTTTATATTATATTTATCTTTATATTTATATTTAATGATTATTATATATTTATCTTTATTTTTATCATTGTGAGTATTTAATGATATGGATAATCTTCATATTCATAGTTTTTATAATAGATAAAAACTAAAAATTTTTTTAGCTTTTTTTTACTTTATATCTTATATATTTAGATGATTTTTTATAAATATATATTAATATATATTTTTAATAAAAACATATTAATTTTAATTAATTTAAAATAATAATTTATATTATTTAATAAAAAATTTATTAAATATATATAAATATATATAAAATATGAATACGATGCGAATATTATATTACTTATTCCTATCGTTATATCTAATAAAAATTTAAAATTATATCTAATACCATCCTTATAACTATAATATAATACATATATATATTTTTATTCGAGATATTAATCAAATTTTTTATTAAATATAAATAAAATTGATATCTTTAAAAATAAATTTTTTTGTCGTTTCAATTTAATTTTTATGAAAAATATTTCGAGAATAAAATTTTAAAAACATTAAATCCATATAAAAAATATCATTAAAATCACCAATGAAAAAATTAGACGAAATTTAAAAATATTCCTAATCGTTTTAAAAAGAATTATGCTTTCTTTGGTCCATATCTTCCCAATCTTTCTGACGTATGCCAAACCTTTTCTCCAAGATTCACTGCTTCTTAATGCAATCACGTTTCCATGAATAGAACAAATCAATTGTTTTTTTTTTTTTTGGGGTAGGGGGGTTAAGATGCAGAGCCCCTGGCAGAACGTTTACACAAGCTAGTACAAAATCATATTCCAACTTGATATTCTGATTAGCAATAAATATTAAAATTTTGGACAAGTTGTGGCATAAAAACCAACTAAGATCCATTATATATATTATTTATGTTGCCCAGGTTGTTGGTCCTGACATCATATATATGCCATTAATATTTCATGAAGCAATGTCTTTAGCTTCATTATGATTTGCCATCTTCCAAGCGACACCACTCATTCATAAGTTTTTTGTTGTTTGATTGGTCATCATAGAGGAAAACTACAACTCTAGAGTGGGGCAAGTTTTTCATTTTTTTTTTATTTCTTTATTTTTGCTTCAGACATAATCTGACCCATCTCCTTAGACAAGGAATCTAATTTGACGTGGTCAATAAAACGCCTAGTGCGTTTGATTTGGGGATCTACAAATTTTTCTCAAAATTTTGATAGTAAATATTAGTTTTTCGTATTTGGTTTGAAATAATTTGATTACAAGAGAAAATATCATATTTTTAATGATACTTAAAGTTTCAAAATAAAAAATATATTTTTTATTGTGAACAATAATTATTTTATTTTTAAATTTAACTTTAATAAAAATTTTATCTTATATCTTTTTTTTTAAAAAAAATAAATTTAAAAATTGATTTTAAATTTTTAAAATTTATCTTTTTTTTAATCTAATTTTAATATGTGATAATTAAGATATTTGTAAAAAAAAGATCTTAATTGATAATGCTTTATTTGATGCTTTTTTCAAAATATTTACAAAAGCATTAAATAAGGTGTTTTTTTGAGCAAATACCTTATTTGATGCTTTTGTTTAACATATTTACAAACAAAACCCCGAATATCAAATATTTTTTAAGTATCACATTCTTTTTTAAAATTCAAGATTCAATAAATCAAACGTCTCCTTATAAATTTCATCTGATATTAATTGCGTAATTAAGTAAAGCATAATTCTAAGAAGAAATCTTATTGCAAGTCTTAATAGTTTTTTATTGTATTATTTTATGCAATAAATTAACACAATTAATACAAAAATTATTGGATTATACATGTTATAAAATATTATCTATTTTGAACATTTGCTTATAAATTAAAGGTATTTCATGGGTTGAGTTGTGTCGGATTCGAGCAAGATACATGTTTGATATTAATAATTTATATGCTTGTCTAAGCTTAGTTCGATGTGAAATTTTAGATCTAAAAAATTTTTCAAATCAGACTCAAATTAAAAAAAAAAAAAAACCCAAAATCCACCCATTAAACTTAATTTATATAATAAAAAATTAAAAGAATATGGTTAAATTTAATTTAATTAAATTATATTTAATTCACATATATATAAATTAAAAATAAAATTATATATGTAAAAATTAAGTTTAATACAATATATATAATTTTTATTTTTAATTTATATATATATGAATTAATTTATATATAATTCACATATATATATAATTTATTTATATATAAATTCAGATCAGATTTGATCAAATTTAAATTTTAAATATTTTATTCAAATTTTAATTCGATATTTAAGTAAATTTAAAAGTTATACTCAAACTTATTTCTTTAATTTTTAATTTAAGTCCTCTCATATTTTTATCGAACTTTCAAACTTTAACTAATAATCTAACCCTTGAACAAGTTTGCTTATAAAATTACATTATTCAATTCTCGATTATTAAATGTAAAATCGTTTTTCCTTCAGCAGTCTGTAAAATAAAACAACGGGTCGTTGACATATTTTTTTCCTAAATTAATGTTAATTTGTCAGTTTAAAGGAAAAGAAAAGTCCTCACGCCAAAAAAAAAAAATCTGAAAGGTTGAAGAATGAGAAATTAATTAGCAGCCGTCGGATAAGAACTGGGAATGACACAAAATTTAGGATAAAGGGGAAGAACCTACATTGCATGCCTTGGGACAATCAAGTTAATGTTTGAAATGCTGCAGTAGTAGGAGTTGATGGGGACAAAAGCGACGACCAGCAAATGGGACCAATTTTCGTAGGGAAAAGGTCAATACCGCAAAGGTCAAGTCCGTCCAAATAAAATAATCATAACCCAGATAGAAAATTTGTATCGCATAGACCAATTTCATCCTGGGTCTCAGATATTTTATATATATATATATATATATATATGTGTATAATATTTAATTGTATATAATTTCGCAATCTGGAGGGTTGGGGTTTTTGGGATAAGACAGTGGTCCACTTGGCATGATTTATTGAAAAAAAAAATTGAAGAAAATGAGGCTACATACGTACTGAGGTTCGTGCATGAATTTGGAACTCAAAGCAACGACTGCAAAAGCTAGAGCTAAACTGACCCATACCCTCCCATCAATTTCCTTTTCCCACTTTCTCCCCCCAACCAGGATTTTGTTTTTTTTTTTTTTTGTTTTTTTTTTTGGAAAAGGCACATGAATTCATATGTTGTGAATTAAGTTTTGTCTGGCATTATGGGTCTCAATTTTCTTTTAAATTTATTCCAGACTAAATAAAAAAAAAAATCCCCAGGTCTTTGAATCCACTTCAAAACTGATTATTAAATCAAATTATATGAACAAGCTCATTTTAGTCTCGTTTGATGATTATTAGATTTCATTTGAAAACACAATAAACATTTACTTACTGTTTTGATGCAATGAAAATCTCTTTTTTCATTGTGCATTCAAATGATACAGTAAAAATAAAAAAGAAAGTGTAGTTCATAGTTAATGTAATAATGGGAAGTTTTACTGTTGCTTGTATCACTAGAAAAAGGGCAATGAAACGGTTGCAGGTTCGTGCATTAAAAGAACGGTAATGTTTCTCATTGTTTATAGGTTTTCTGAATGAAATAACTGGTTTTTAATATAGTTGGCTGATGCGTAAAGTGGAAGGCAAATGACATTGCCATCTTCGCAGGAAAGCATGATTTATAAATATTTTCACATGTTCGACCATTCCATCGTGATTCTCATGCTTTTCATCACACTATTTTTCTTTAACAATGATACACATGGGGAGAAAAGAGAGGAGAATAGTGTACTTGATGCATATTTTATGTATATACGAATAGTGTACTTGATGCATATTTTATGTATATACTTGTATCCCTTGGCAATTCCAAGCATTGACCATTTGCAAAAACTTACTAATAGTGTTATCTGTTGATAAGACGTTTCTAGTTTTAGTGACCGACTGGAATCCTAAAAAAGAAAAAAAAAGATTGTAATTCTTGCAAGAATGTCAACTTTGTCGTAGTGAGTAGCAATTTTGTACTAAGATCAAAGAGGGAATAGCGCAAAACATTGGTTAATCAAAACTAGACTTGTTAGCTACATTGCAAATAGACATCATGTAACTACCAGAAATTTCAATTGCGGCTAAAGACAGAACTAGCAGGAAACAAAGCAGGCTGATGAAGAACTTCCAAGATATATAAATTTCGCATAATTTTTCACCAAGGGAGATTTTGAATTGTCTGTGAACTATTTGTTTTTGAAACTGCACATGATGAACAGCCTTACAATCGCCAAGTTGCATGTATTCTAGAGAACATTTTAGTACGTTCCTGACTACTCTAACAACTGTATTAAGAGCGGCAATAACTTAATCTAGCTAGTTTTGCACTGTACACGTAATCTATTTTATCAAAATGATGTGTTGAAGAGAATTCCAGTAAACTAATGATTAGATCTGAAGCTATCCAGGCAATTGCACAAGAGCTTTTAACACATTAAGTGGGGGAAAAGATAAGGGAACTAACTTTGTATACCATTTTGACTGTGAATGTCGTCGTATGTGTAACATCTCTGTGCAGGTAGCACAGTGGGGAATCTCTCACAAGATGTTATCTTTGTCTATCCCCATTTTGATTTGAAAGATTCAAGGCTGCTTGAGTTATGCAACTTACAGCATGAGTCATCACACAATTTTGTTTACCTGCATCAGGACTTTCCGAAGCTCAATGGCAATCTCTTGTAATAGCACTGGTTTTCGAATAACTCCATTTATACCAATCTGCAAACATTTTTCCCAGATATCTTCTTCGGCACTAGCAGTCATGGCAACAATCAATGGCCAATTATGACTTCTGAACTTCCGAATTCTCATTGCAACTTCAAATCCATCCAACTCAGGCATCTGAAGCTCCAAAATAACAATCTGAAAAGGAGATGAGGCTTGCCCAATAGCATTGAGGCATTGATATCCAGATGAAACAACAGAAACAGTGCATCCCAACTTCTCAAGAAGCTTTCGAGTCTCAGCACAGTTCACATCGTCATCATCAGCTAGTAAAACTTGCAAACCTCTGAAAAGAGAGTTGGAGCGTGGCTGTTCTGAAGATTCTCCAGAATCTGTGATAGTTATACTGATGGATGGTCGAACTTGAAACCGAATAACAAGTGCCATGCTTTGAGCAGAACCTTGAGGGTTTTGGACTACCAAGATATTCCCATGCATCAGCTACAAATTTTGTTCAGATCATCACAAATAAATTAATAAAAAAGTAATATAAAAAGGTTTTTTCTTTTAAAAAAAAAGAAAGATTATTATAACAGGTGGATAACGTATTTCACTGTGTCAACTAAAATTTCCAGTTTGCACTAACCGGTTGTGGAAACAATTAAAACTTCTAGCTTAGCCACTTCCTTATAGAAATTGTCAACCCATATGAATAAAAAGTTCTAAATGGAAAAATCTAAGATGGTTTCAGAATGGATCCAAGCATCCAAAGCTTTTACCATCTGTAGGACAAGGAGCATTACATGACATATATGCAATTAGCTAATAATAGAAAACCAGATGCAGGATGTTTCATCAGCAATTCATCAGGTGACAAAAAAACTTTATCCTACTTATTATCTTATCGCAGATTTCATATGTTTTTAGTGCTCTATTACTCACTTTTCTTCCTCTCTCAGCAGACAAAATCTGCTGTTCTTACCTGCACTAGCTTTTGGCAAATGCTGAAGCTCAAGCTTTCCTCAGTTCCTTGGCTGTTGTGTCTTCTTGCACTGATCTGTACTTCTGACGTTGAGCAGCCCTCTGATTGAGAATTTCCATTGTCAATCCTAATTTCAAACCTGATATGTACATCTGCATCAGAAGAGCTGTGCCTCCAGGCTGCCCGTCTCAAATCATTCTGTTCCTGAGTACCATTCTCTGAGAACACCCGAAGTATTACAGTTCCCCCTCCACTATTGCCATCAAATAGGCTCCCAACCATATGCAGTATCACCTGAAAAACTCTCCTTTCATCACCAAAAACAAGATCAGGCAAGGACTTCTCAACCTCAATTGAAAAACCAAAACCCCTAGAAACACACAAGCATTTAGCAAGGCAAGCTGCTTCTTTTATCATGGAATGTAATCGAAAAGATCTCTTCTCCAATGGGGATCTTCCACGATCCATTGTTGAAATATCCATCACATCGTTTATCAAGGTTGATAGGACATTGCTGGTCTTCATCATAGAATCAACAATAGTTCGTTGATCATTGCTCAAATTCCCATCCTGCATCATTGAGAGCAAGCCTAAAATCGAGTGCATAGGCCTCCTCATTCCATCACTCATTACCTTCTGAAATGTATTTCTAGCCTGGCTTGCCCTCATAGCATTCTGCTGTGCCAGTTGTAATGCCCGGTTTTGCTCAACCAATTTCTCCCGCATGAGTTGGGACTCTTCAAGAACTGCAGCATGAGAGAGCGCAACAGCCACCTGATCAGCAACCACCTTAACTATCTCTAGTTCCTGGTTGCTCCATGATCTATGTTGTTCACTAGGAAGAACACAAACCAATATGGAATAACATGTCTGAACTAGCTCAGGAGTTCCCCCTTTAAAATTCGATACCCGAAGCATTGGCATCCGAATTGCAGCCACTGCTCCTGGCTCACCATACTCTCTATTGCTTGCAATTGCAAGCGCAGATTCTGACTTGAGGATATTCACTCCACTGCTTCCTTTAATCCTTACAACATCTGGATCAGTAATGGGAATGGTAAAATTATATGAATAATTCCTTTCTTTGAGTTCATGAGTCAGATTCATCTCTGTCTTGATCTCATTAGGCATCCAAACAGCACAATTTTGCAAACCTAATGTCTTGGACAATTCTACCATTGTTGTGTATAAAATGTTATGCCTATCTAATGATTTCCGAATTTCTTGAGTAAGCATGCGGACATGCAAACCAGTCTCCTTCTGTTTCATTATAATACCAACTTCCCGCCCAAGATCCCAAGCCTTTTTCTTCAGCATAAATTCTCTCACCTTGACTTTCAGAAGCAATGGAATGAGCGTGATAAGCGTAATAGCAGTGGCACATGAGACCAAAGCAGTGAGAATCTTGAACACGGTGACAGCCAACATGAGTTGAAAAGGATGGGGGCCATAGGTCCACCCATTGAGCAAATGGGTCAATCCACATAGCACGATGAAGGCTATGAACTGAAAGAGGACCCATTTGAATGGCAAGTTTGAGCAGCTAACAAAGTAAAGCAGCTCAACAGGGATCGAAAAATAAGCCACAGCAATCAAGAAATCACTCACTCTTTGAGTCTCTAAGATGCTTTCAATGCTCCAAAAGCTCCCCTCATCATCACAATTACACCTCGGAAAGCCATTATCTGCCGTGGATACTGAAATTAGAAGCGAAGAAATCAACAGCCCAGGAGCTAATGCTTTTAACATTGCAGCCAAATGGACTGCTACCCTTTCATTCAATCCATTTATTGATACACCTTTTGAGTTATTACAAAACACTTTACTCCTCTATCTGAAACACGGCTCATTTGAGCTAAAACCTTATAATTCCAAGCTTCAATTCTCAATGCCTGTAATAAAAAGACAACTCAATACTGTTGAAAAACATTAAACACCCACCAAAATAAGAAATTTAATAGCCTTGAATTACAATCAAACTCACTGTACATCCCAGAATTAGTAAAATTATTTTTTTTTGTTGGTCAAAATAACTTAATCCAAAACTCTTTATCTGATTATCAACCTCAAATTTCATATTTCTATTAAAAACCATTAAAAAAATACTCTAACAACAAATGCAAAACACAGGAACCAACCCATTTCTTTTGATAATCCCAGAAATGCGCCCCCAAAATCAAGAACAAAAAAAAGACCTAGAAATTTAAAAACCAAAAAAACTTACCAGAAGCCATGAAAGAAACCACCTTCAGATCTTTTGAGTTTCTATGACATGCAAAGACAAGGGCAAAATTTTTTATGAATCCAAGCTTAAGTATTTCCCATTTCAATGAATCACCCGCGGTCCATTTGACAGGTTCAAAGCACCCAGCACCAAAACCAAAGAAGAAAAACAAAAGATATGTTTTTTTTTTTTAATATTCCAAAAACTAAACCAAAAGCCGGTGAAGCTAACAACAATAACACAAACAAAAAGCAGCAAAACAAGCAGTTTTCTGAGTTTTGTGCCTGGTTTAGTCTGGTCTGGTCTGGTCTTTTATTTTGCTTCTTCAAAGCTTTCCTTTATATAGCAACAATCTGGTTTCTTTTTTATAATATTTTTTCAATTCTCTTTCAAATTTCAAACAAAAGCAAAGAAAACAAAAACGCAGTTTTTAAGAAGCAAGAACAAAACGAGAGAAATGAGAGAGGTTTTGGTGTGGAGAGAAAGGAAAAAGGAAATGTACATATATAATAAGATATCGCCCTTGTTTTTGTAAGAGGCTGAAAAAAATATTTAGAAAAGAAAGAGAAAGATGAAGAAGAAGAAGAAGAAGAGAGGGAAAAGGATGGGACCCAGCTTCTTACATGAAGAGAACTTGGACGCCCCTTTGAACCAAAACGTCGTCCTCGTAGTACCCAAAAAGATTTGTTTTATTTTCTCTCTCCTTCAATTTCCTTTCTTTTTCCCTTTTTTTTTTTTTTTTTTTTTCCTTTTTGTTTTCTTGTAATTCAATCTAAGCTTCCTATTCTGTTTCAAGTCTCACCCAAAGCATTTCACTTTTTTAATTGGATGCTTGGTGCCACGGTAGCTTTAGGTTGTAAATAAAACAATTTTATTATTATATTCATAATTTATTCATTTAGAGTTTTATAAGTGATGAAATTAAATTTGTTAAGATTTAAAATAACGATTGAAGTAAGATTATTATTATAATAGTAAAATTAAAATTACGGATTAAATATGTATTTGATAAAAAATAACGATAATAGTAAAATACTTATAATAAAAAAATTATTAAAGACATTAGAATAAAAATAATTATGTAATAAAAATTTTAGATTATTTAATATTTATAAAATTAAAAAATTATTTAATTATTTAATGTCAAATAATAATTTTATTAATAAATAATTAAAATTTATTTTATTTATTATTTTATAATTTTTTTTAAAAAAATTAAGTGTAGGGATATTTTTATCTCTACGACTTGACTTTAAGATAAAAAAGTAAAACAAACAAAAATAATAACAAAGAAAAAAAGCAGTTATCATCTAGCCCAAAAATAATCTGGTGAGTAATTGGTAAAATTTCAATAGCATTACACTTGTGTTTAGATATCTTCACAACAATTGATACAATTTTGCATGAAAATTGCACCTCTACTAGAGGTGAGATATAATTCAAATGTAGTTATATTGTTCATTATCGTTTGTTAATAGTAGCAGATCCATGATTTTAACAATTTTGTTTAAAATAATTTATTAATTATGGTATATTCATAATTTTTTTTGAAATATCCACTTATAATATATATATGTATATATATATATAATTATTGATGAATTTGTCAAATTTGTTGATGAAAAAGGTGTTATGAGAAATTTTTAAAAGTGTTTATAGAAATTTTCTTTCAAAATTTTTTATTTTTAAAATTTTAGAATGTCATAGGAAAATTTTGAGAATGCCCAATGTCGTAACGTCTAGATCCGGGGATCTATCGCTAGACATTGACTTTTAGGGAGTCGCCACCAATCTTTTTTGTCTAGGTGCAATTGGCCACCTATAGAATCTGTCCTTTTAAGGAACACCTAAGTTTAAGGGTCCCTAGAAGAATAGGTTCAGGTCTACAAACCAGAACAGAGTTCGGGAGTTCGATTACGTGTGAGGAAGGTTATAGCATCCTCACAACGCCCATCAAAAGATGGTACCAGCTTAAATTTGTGTTATCCAAGAGCCTTAAAATTTTACCAAGTAATTAATTATTGGAAATTTTTCTCAATTGACTCTAATACTTTTAGCAAAAAATTGAGAAAATTCCCTCACCTCAAGAGTATGCAAGAAAAACTACTGTTTCACTTGCAGAGGCTCCGTCGTCGGATTATTTAAAGAAAAAAACAAAATCAAAATTAAGATAGAAGTGAAGGAAAGAATGATTTTTTTTTGTAGGGAAAATTGATACTTTCAACTTTTTCCCAAAAATATTTTTTGAAAATTTATTTTTAAGGAAAATTGATACCTTCGACTTTTCCCTAAAAATTTTTTTTTTTGAAATTTATTTCTGAGGAAAATTGATACTTTTAACTTTTCCCCAAAAATATTTTTTGGAAATTTATTTCTAAGGAAAATTGATACTTTCAACTTTTCCTCAAAAATATTTTTTTTGAAACTTTGATTTCCAAGGAAAATTGATACTTTCAACTTTTCCTCAAAAATCTTTTTTTTCAAAAATTTATTTTTAAGGAAAATTGATACTTTCAACTTTTCCTCAAAAATATTTTTTTTGAAACTTTGATCTTAAGGAAAATTGATACTTTCAACTTTTCCTCAAAAATCTCTTTTTTGAAAATGTATTTCTAAGGAAAATTGATACTTTCAACTTTTCCCTAAAAATATTTCTTTTTTTTTGGAAAATTTGATTTTTATTTGAAGAAAATAGAATAATAAAAAATATAAATAAATAATAAAAAATAAAGAAAAGTAAAAAAAAAATAAAAATAAAACTAAGATAAAAGAATATTAAATAAACCTAATAAAAAAAATAAATAAACAAATAAAAAACATTCAAAGAAAAAAAAAAAAAAAAACTGGAGCGGCTCGGATCGCGGCTCGGCTCGGCTCGGCTCAAGGCAGGGAAACGGCTCGGGGGGAGCAGCTTGGCGGCTTGGCGCGGCTCGGCTCGGCTCGGAGGGGGCAGGCACGCGCGGGTCAGAATCGGGTCGACGCTCGGGTCGGGTCGGTTTCGGCAAAACGCGCGGATCCTCTGGTTACTTAAGGCCAAAACGACGTCGTTTTGGGAGGGTATAAAAGGCAATCCCCTTCATTTTTTCTGCAGAACGCTCCTCCCTCTCTCTCTCTTCTTCCCTTTTTCTCTCCTTTCTCTCTAAAAACTGAAGAACACCGGTGCCGAATTCTGGAAAATGTCACCGGAATCTAGAAATTTCGCCGGAAGTTGGCCGGAATATTGTCGGTTTCTGGGATTCTTCGCCGGAAACTGGGTAGGTCGCCAGAAACTTCAATGTTAGCCGGAATTGTCGTCGGAAAATTCAAATTTCGCCGGAATCTGGAAATTTCCCAGAAATTTCCAGAAAAATTTTTTCGCCAAAAGTTTCTAAAAATTTTTTCCCACTCCCAGAACACTCCTAAACTTTTCCTAGCTTCCTATACGCCTCCTTTTCTCTCAAATCAGTAGCTTTGCTTACTGTTTTCTGTGTGTTTCATTATGTTCCAGCAGGTGTTTTATATAGGGATTGATCAGGAGTTTCTGATCAATCCCAATTCCCCTTTGGACGGGAATTCAATCTTTGAATCCAGTCTGGACTCTTCTGATTGAATTCCCACTCCCAGTGGGATTCTTCAACTTTCAATCCTAGCCCTCCAAAATAAAAATAAAAATAATAATAAAAAAAAAACCAGATAATTAGAAAAGATAAATCAAAAGATATTATAGGATAAAAATAATAATAAAAAAAAATATCAGATATATAATTAGATAAGTAAAAATACAAAAATGAATAAAATAAAAAAGATAAAATATATATATATATACATATTAGTAATAATACATAAATATTAACAAAAAATAAATAAATAAATATATACATATATTAATACATAATAATAATAATAAATAATACAATACATAAAATACAAAAGAAGAAGAAAAGAAAAAAAAATACAAGATAAAATTGAATTGGGCTTACCCATTTGGGCCAGGCCCAATTGATCTGGGCCTGGACCCAATTGGGTGTCTACACCCAAGAAAAAATTTTGGTGCAGAGAGTAAATCATCCACCATTTGTTGAACTTAACAAACGGACAAAAATCAAGTTTTTTCACAAAACTGTTTATTGAACACTATTCTTTTACACTCTTGAGCGTAAATTAACCGTATACAATAATAACAATAAACTAAATTTTATATATCATAACTATAGGGTTGATTATATAAAAGGCAAAAAAAAAAAAAGAATCATGTAAGATCGTAGTTTTGAATCCTTTTAAGTCACTTATTTTTATAAAAACAATATTTTTATTTATTTTCTTAACCCTAATATTATTTCTTACTACTTGCATCTGCATTTTTCATGATCTATCTCTAGAAATTTTAGTTTCTTCCAAACTCATAAGCTCATTTCTCCTAATTTGTGCATAGATAGGCTGACATCTCACATTTTCAAACCATTTAAAATGACCTTCAGTCATCTTTGTTTCAATTTGAATTACCCATAATTTTTCTCGAGTCTCTTCATTTCAAATTTTGTCACTTTTAGTCTTACCATAGATTTATCTAACCATCTTTAATCAGCTACGCTCATTTTCTTCTCATGTTGTTTCTTAACGACCCAATACTTTGTCTCATATAATAATAAAAGTCTTACAATTATTTTACACAACTTTATCTATAACTTTAAACGCATATTACAATCACACAACATACCAAACACATTTCGTCACCTCACCCATCCCACTTGAATCCTATGATTTACATCCCATTTAATCTTAGTATCGCTTTGAATAACTGATTCCAAATATTGAAAATAACTATTTTTTTGTGCTACTACCTTACCATCAAACATACTCACACTAGCATTTACTTTTATATAACTACTAAACTTACATTTTATATATTCAATTTTAGATTTATTCAATTTAAAGTTTCGAAACTTTAGTATATGCTTCCATAATTCTAATTTTGTATTAAAATCATCGCTAATTTTAGCAACTATGACTATATTGTAAAGAAATAATATATACCATAGCATCTTATATTGGGTATGTCCAATAATCTCATTTATAACTAGTGCTATAAACGAACCAAATATAAATAAAATTTATTATATATGTCATTTATTTATTTAATTAATAAAATTTAAAATATTATTTATAATAATTTATTAAAATTAATTAATAAATAAAAATCAAACTTGTTCACACCCTATTAACCTTGTTTCATGGAATGCCAACATGCTTAAAAAGCCTAAAACCTTGTTTAAAGGCTCAATAAGATTTATTTTTTATTTTACAAATAATATTAGATTGCACAACAAGAAGTAACACTTTTATTTTCAAAAAATTTTTCACTCCTTCCATTTTAAGGTTTGAAATTGAAACTTTCAAGATAAAATTTTAAAATCTATTAAATGGAGT